AATCTAGAAAACATGATCTATAAGCAAATATTTAAGAAATATACATTTGGTCTAAGAGGGGGAAGGAACATGGGTCTTAAAAATACTCTTAAGGTAATAGAGCAAAAGCAACTAGATGCATGAGACTTGTATAATGCAAAATCTCTGAAGATTATATATTTAAAAATATTATATGTTTTATATATTATATAAACATATTTTATATATTTAAATTATATAAATAAGTATATATATATATAAATAAGTATATATAAGTATATATATATTTTATATCTCAGTCAATGCAGCAGGACAGTTTCCAGTTTATATTTTCTTTCTTTTCCCTTCTCAAAAGCCCTGAACCCAGTATATTAGCTACCCCCAGACACCATCTCTGTATTTTTTGTCTTGGCTCTGATTTCATTGATGCTGAATATTATATTTGAGACTTGTCCACAGTTCCGTACCTGTCTTTTATTTGTTTTGAAATACACAATTTTATTTCCTTAAAATCTTACAAAATTAAATCTGTGCCACAGCATGAGCATTTCATACACTTGATACTGGCCTGAACAAATGCTGTTTCTGGGTACAATATGGGATGTTCTGCTTTCTCTCCGAAGGTGAAATGCCACCTTGATAGGCTCATCACCTGATACTGCATGCTTTAAACAGCATTCTTAAATTTAGTGAAATTACTTGTGCATCAGTTATGTCTTTCAGAAAGCTCTTGCTCTCTATGCTTCTTTCCCTCAACAAATAACTAAAGATTCAGGTTTTTTCTGGCAGCGAGAATACCTTTCACATAAAGTATTAGACTTCAAGAAGATGATGCAATTCTGCTCTTCAGAAAATAATACATAATTTTTCTGAAATCAAGGCAGTAAGTCTTTTATCTAAAGTCAAGAGCAATACGTGATCAGTATTTTGTTGGCTATCAGTTGAAGAAACGTGAAGAATGCAGTTAGCAGCTGCTGGTTTCAGTCTAAGCCAGGTTCCCGGTATTGTTTGTCCCTGAGATTACTGTCTATAAACAAGAAAAAGTTATTTAAGTTCTTCTCCCTGAAACATATAAATTACTCTCTGTTCTTGTAGCCCACTGTTGTTAAGCGTGTAGCTTAGAGTTCAGTGGTTACTCACAGGAGAAGACATTTCTTAGAGGAGATTGGCATTTTTTCAGGGTTCATTTTGTTTTGGTTTTGTTCTTCAGATGAGATAGGTCATATATAAAGACTTTTTTCATGGCACTATCTGTTTTTGTTAGCAGGAAACACTACAATTACTTCAAGTCATTTTTATAGTGATGCTGTTTGAAGATTGAAATCATGTCCCTTTAGAGTTGATGGCGAATCTTGCATAATATGGTTATAATGTTTGTGCAGAAGACAATATGGAGAGACATTCTAGAGACTGTCCTAGGATCTTAGGAAAAATGACCAAAAATTTTTTTTGATTGAGTGGGGAACTCTGGTAATAAATCTGTATATAAAATTCCAGCCTCTGCCTCATCTAAACAGCACCTCCCATTTGTTTCAAGCATAATAATTTGAGAGATTTAAGTGGAGTTTGTTGTCACATTAGAAGGCTGCTAAACTGCTGCATCTCACTTAAATACTTGGAGTGACTTCCTTGCAGCAGTTGAGGTACCTTGGTCCTGCAGGGATACAGGTTGTATGTTTGGGGTTTTTGTAGTAGGGTAATAAAAATGCTGGAGCCCCATCTAGTGCATGGACATTTAACACTGCTAGAGAAGTTACAGAATGTGTCAGAGCAGAGAGGATGGAAGGCAATCCCACTAGTGGGAAAATTTTACGCTTTTTGAAAAATAATTTGTGTTACTATACCAGTAACAGATTAGAAGACAAAAATGTGAAAAGTAGTAGTCAGACAGAGGTGTATTTGGGGAAGGTGATCTGTAAATGTTAATAAAATTATTCTGTAAAGTGAAAAATTTTGAAATATTTGACTGTGCTAGAACCCAAGTTTGAGCAGGTCAGCTGAAGTTTGAAAAATCTCTGAGACCAGGACATGTTCAGCACATTTAGGTTCAGTAAATTTTGTCAAATCCAAGCACATTTGACCTTGCCTTGTTTCTTTCCAATGTTTCTGTTTATTGATATTTTTTTATGAGACTTTTGGGTTTGATTAGGCAATTTAGGATTCTAGGTAAAATCCTGATACCATGGAAAGTCAGCAAGACTGTTTTAATTTCATTTGCATCAGCTTTCACCCTTGGATTTAGAGATTAACAGAGAGCTAGGATTTGCTGTCCCTGTGAACTTGGACTTCCCTGCAAAGGTTTGGAAGGAAATCCTCTTAGAACACCAGTACTGTAAGTATGATGTGCTTGCCAGTAGGCTCCCTTCTCCACCAGAGAATAGGGAAGTTGCTTTTGATATTCTGCCAAAGCCCCTTTTAAAATAAAATAGATACTGTGCACTTTTTGAACTTGTTGAAAGGTGGAAAAATACAGGGTTTAGTCAACGTGCATTTTTAATGCATAAATGTTTCATTTGAAAAAAAAGAGTGGTTTTCTTCTAAACAATTAACCTTGAGTGGTTTAATTAATTTTCTTCCAATTATTAGGTACATATTCAGGAATAAAAGGATTTTATAAAAGAAACAACTCTGATATATTAGCATTATTTTAGGAAGTTCAATGCATCAGCTTTACTAGTAAGATAAAAAGCTACACCTATATAAAATTCAGATTTCATTAGTATTTTTTACAATTAATGTCCTAAATTTGAGTATGAATATCAAATGGTTTATTAATGAACATGTTATGCCTACACAGATTACTTTTTTTGTTGGATAAAAAGCAAAATAGGGTTAAAAAGCTGCACTTTTCTTCACAGTGAGGATGTCAGCAATAGTACAGTGTATTAAAATATCTGTCAGTGATAGTAACTAAAATCAGCTGTTGGTGATTTTTCATAACAAAAGCTTACTGTGGTGTTATTCTCCCCTAGGAAGTACTGTCTTATATACATCTGCACTAGTATTGCAACATTGTTTCAGCATTTCATGCTGCCTATGATAACTTGTTCTACAGAAAAGAAGTTTTCATTGTAAATATAGAAGCTTTTTAAATGTTATCTTTGAATTACAAGAAATTCTTCACTGTGTTCTGGATTTAGGAGTCATTCATATCTCAGTAAAGGTTTAAATAGTATAAGCACAGTTGTGCTGTGCCCTCAGAAGAACATCTTTTCAGATGTCTAATTATGCTTCAGCATGTAAATACACTAGTAGCTTGAAATACAGTACTTACTATATAAAAAATACTGTGTCAAGTGGCATTGGCCTTGAGGTCAAAATCAGTATTATCGGTTGTTATGAGAGCCACACGGTAATTTGTACTTTCATGTGCAGATCATAGGACCTGGCCCAGGATCCCAGGAACATTGCAGGGGCTGGTTTAGATATGTACCTCCTCAGGGTCTAGTAGGCTGCTTCTAAGCTGCTGTTTCTTCAGTATTCACAACTTCATTCTCATTAGGGGTGCTGAGGAGCTTCACACCCTGATTCCCTCATGCTCACTCAGCTGTTGTTCCCTCCCTTCCACTTTCTTCTCCTAGAGACTTTTCTGAAATGTATTTGTTTCTACGGTCAAGTTTATTGTGGTGTCACAAGAATATTTTAATAATGCATATATATGGAGGGGGTGAGCACATTGCAGATGGGAACTTCTTAGGCTAAACTTGCTGCCAAATCTAACATATTGTATAATTATACCTTAGGCTAAACTTGCTGCCAAATCTAACATATTCTATATTGTATTGCTAGCACAGCTATTCTGTCTCTAATTTCAACACCTTGTTAGGTTGGAGTGTTTCTAGTTGCCCCTTTGGAAAATAAATGGTTTGTAGTCCAAGTAAATAGGTCTGCAGACCAGACAGAAATTGTAATTTTTGGTTACATTCTAGCAATCTGAACCCAAATAGAAACCAAGGAATTTGTAGTAACCTGTCAAGCCCTGCACTTGTTCAACATGAAAGTGAGTGGGACAATAAAAAACACACTTGTGTGTCTGTGACTTCTAAATGTAGTTTTATTCATACATTGGAAAATAATTTCTTGTACTTAACCTATTTTTTTCCTGTTCTCCCTGTCCAAGAGTAATAACTTAGGGTTTTTTCACTTCTGTGGTTTAACTTGGTTGTGAGTAAACAAGAACAGATAAACTGAAAGGTACACCTTTGACATTCAGCTTTCAGTATAGCTCAGCTTGGGAACATTTAAAGGAAAAATTGAACTTTAATGATTTAGCTTTCTCAGTCATTTAGTTGCTGGAAAAATGAATGCTAGTGTCCTAAAATAAAGCAAAAATAAAGCAAACAAAACCCCAAACTCCACCATTCATACCAAATGAGGTAGTTTATTTTTGTGCAACAAACTCAAAAAGATGTGTAGAAGTAACTCTGGGAGTTAGATTTTCAAACTTTGAAACATCAAGAGCTGTGAAATACCATTCTGAATGTGCTTCATTGTACCACAGCATTTAAGAGACCTCACACTTGATCTTATTTCTACCATGTGCCAAGCTGTAACAACGGAGCTGCTGTTGTTCAAATAAATGTACAGATTCTGACTGTAGAATTTCTGCAGTGCTCGTAGACAGATTTTCTGTTATTACAGGAATTCTAAAAAATTCAGGAAAATCCTAAAGATACGTTCCTCAGGTTTTACCGTTGTGCACAAGTAGTCATAGTTGCCATTGATTTATTACCTATGAGCTGTTACAGGTTATGAGAATGTAAGAGTTTTGGAATCAAAGTAGCTGTCAGAGAATGGGATTTGGATGAGTTTTTTTTAATACAAGCTGTGATTGGCTATGAATGCTATTAGTAATTAACTATCTTTTTGCCACATGTTATTTTAGGAGAAGGGAAATAAGTTTTTTAAGTGAGTTAATATACATTTTAAATGTGCATTGCTATTGGTGGCCATCAAGGACAGTTCTGTGCTTATACTGTATCTCATGTGAAAAATTTAATGCATTGTATTCCCATATTTAGATATTGCAAATGGCTCCAGTTCAGGAGGATATCGCCCCCCTCCCAGAACAAAAGAAGTGATCATCAATGGACAGACAGTGAAATTAAAATACTGTTTTACTTGCAAGATTTTCCGCCCACCTCGTGCCTCACATTGCAGCCTTTGTGATAACTGCGTAGGTGAGTATAAAGAGAGACAGCATATGGTCAATTTTGTAGTTTGTATATTGTTACAAATACTTTTGGTATGAGAGAGAAAAGGATCAGTTAGAGACGAGATGACTCACGAGGTCACTTACTGTGTTCATCCTTTTTTCCTACAAGCTCTGTTCAATGTTAAGAATTTTAGAGGAGGCAGAAGAGGAGATTTGGCCTAACAGGCAGTTGTAGCTAGTCTTGGAAGGAAAAGTATCTTCCAATACAGACACCTTTCCTAACCTGCTCTCTAAGACAAAGAATGCATCCAGTTTGAGTAGGGCTGCAGAGTACATGTGACAAACTCTCCAGTTCCGAGATCCAAGCCTTTAGGAGAGTCTCAGACTTGCTTCCTTCACCAAACTAAATTGAGGGCAAGGAGCTGCTTCTCCAGTTATTTACAGATTAAGGATAAGGCACAGTTCAAATGTTTAGGGCTTGCACTGTGACCAGAATATACACTGTAGGTGATTCTTCCCTCTGAAAGTTTTAAGAACAGAAGTTCTAAAGTCAGAATCCATAAGGAATTGCTGGGCAAGCATGCTATTTGGAGAATAAGTAGACATTGTGAGGACCTAAGCATATTTCATAATGATAGGGCTTTTTTCCTCTGAACATCTTGTCTTTTTTCAAGACTGTTTTCTTTTGAGGGCAGACAAGGTGATTAAGGTATGCTTGGATTTAAAAGCAAACAAAAAAAATCCCAACCAATCACATCTGAGTGGTTTTCTAGTTAATTAGATCACATTTAGAGTTTAGTGCAGCTGACTAGCACATGCTGTTGAGCTGGGATCTTATGCATTCAAGAAAATAATGTAGAAAGATATCTCCAGCTGAGAAATGTAATTGCAGCATTCAGCAGTGGTATTTTTAGATAAAAAGCAGTCATTGGCAGAATTACAGTTTCATGTTTAGATGATATTCATTTAGGGAGCACACTTACATCAGAGTGAAAATTTTAGCCTTTTGGCCCTATACAATTGATTGCTATCTGTAGTTGGCTCATTCAGTAAGTAAGTTTTTCTGATGTGTTAGAATTGTAAGCATTGTAAAAGCTGTTGAACTTGAAAAGTAGGAATGTTTATGAATTGTAGTTGACACATTTTCAGAAAAATATTGTATCAAATATGTAACCTGGACAGTACAATGTTGTGGTGCTTCTCTGCAAACCTGATGTGAAAATGCAGTTGCTGACCAGTGCAGTAAATTAAAGGCTGTTGTCTTTACTGAAAGTGCCTAAATAAAAGCAACTGCCACACACACATCCTGAACCTTATTTAAAAATAATATTTCAGGTTTTTTAATAAAACATTATGAAGGATTTGTCTACAGGTTATTCTGATTGTGTAATCTGTAATCTGATTGTGTCCATTTCATACTAAATTTGGAAAACCTATTCTGTGAAACAAAGAATTAGTGATGGTGGGGGAAGAACTTATTCTTAGTCTTTTGATTATGTCTGTGATGAGACATCAGATGTGAGTTATTCTGAATGTGTATCAGAAAAGTCTGAGCAAATGACTCATAGAAGTGCTAATTGTATCTAAGATTAGTCTTTTCTGCTTATAAAATAGGTATGATCATTGTCAGGTCCTCTTGCACGGTTTTTGATTTGAAGTAATTTGTCTTAAAAGGATTCCATCCTTTTATTGGGATGAATTTGCTGTGATCTTTCTCCTCAGTGTTTATAATGGGAATTACAATAAACTATTACTTTTTCAGGGTGCATTGCTTAAGTACTTTTGTTTCCTGATTTGGTTACAGGTATTTGTCATATAAATATTCAGGTGTATTGAATGCAAAAAGTGAAATTTGCAGGTACCTGCAATTAATTTTCTGTTAATTTTCCCACATGTATATGAATATTTTATAACTTAAAATTGCAGCTCACTACTGATATGGCTGTGCAGTCTATTTTACCACATAGTCCCTGAAGTTTTCACTGCACAGTTATAAACTAACTACAGAGATTGCATGGTACAGGAATGGAGTCTTTCTTCAAAACAACACTCACTGCTCAGAAAAAACAGAATGCTACTTTTACTGGAAAGTGTTTTATGATAATGGGCAAATGAATGCAATGTGAAAGAGAGTTCGTTAGTTCTGTTTTTCTATCGATGCTTTTCATTCTGTAAGGAATGCCTAGCAACATATTAAATATGTAAGTACACACAACAATATATTCTTTGTTGTTTTTTCCCCCTTTTGAATTAGTCCTAACGTTCTAGTTGTCTAGAAGGCTTATCTGCTACTTGATCTTGTCTCTGATTTGCATTTAATCTTTTGTTTACCTATTCAAACTTAGTAGAGTGTTTTCATGTTATTAAAAAAAAAAAAAAAAAAAAAAAAAAATTTTTTTTGTTTTAGCCATAATAATACTTCAAATTCATTTAGATTTACAGTATTTTCATAGTATCACAGAATTGCCAAGGCTGGAAAAGACCTCTGAGATCATCAAGTCCAGCCTATGACCTAACACCACCACATCAGCTAGACCCTTAGCCCTAGACCATTTATTCTAGACACTTACGCCCAGACCCTTCAACCTTGACCCTTAATGCTAGGGTCCCAGAAGATCATCTAGTCCAACCATAATCTAAATCCCCATACCATAACCTAATCTACCCAATCGGTGCTTTAATCATGCTGCTAAGCACTATATCTGTATTTCTCTTAAACACTTCCAGGGACGGTGACTCCACCACCTCCCTGGGCAGCCTGTTCCACTGTCCAGCCACTCCTTCAGTAAATAAATTCTTTCTAATATCCAATCTAAACCTCCGCTGATGCAACTTCAGGCCATTTCCTCTGGTCCTGTAATTACTCACCTGATGGAAAAGGCCAACTCCCACCTCCTTGTGACCTCCTTTCAGGTAGTTCTAGAGAGCAATAAGGTCTCCCCTCAGCCTCCTCTTCTATAAACTAAACAATCCCAATGTAGTAGTATTCAGAGAAATCTGGATTTTCAGACAAGTGCAGTTTGTTGCATTTATGTAATGCCTTCAAAAAACTGGTTGAATGAATGTTCCCCAAGGCAAATATCTTGGGTATATTCCTGACTTGCTTTCTTTAACTGTCCTTGTGAATGGCAGTTGGAAGTTAGCTCCTCTAGGCTTCTCTGGTGCCATTATGGTGCTTAAAATTACAAATTAATTTAAAATAATGTACATATAAACACAAGGTAAAGAATTTTAAAATATAAGAAACACAGCAGACATAAATTCTGAGCTCAAGCTCAAGCTAGCTATTGCTGGGTTTTGACGAGGTTTTTATTGCGCTGTGTGATGCTAGTAAGAAGCCAGTGATTTGATTTCCTTCTGAAATGACCACATTACTTATTTTCATTTTTATTTTTAGTAGTTTTAACACCAACATGTAATTTCCTGATTTATTTTAATAAATAATTTTTGTGTTGTATAATTTGATTGTTATAACAAAACCTGAGCAAGAAGCAGCTATTTCCAAAGATTTTATTTAAATATAAAACAGAACAACTTGAAGAAACAGTGAATAATGATTAGCAAGCAGTGAATCAGCCAAATATCTAAATGTCTAAAATCTTCCTTGCATTCACATGCCACAATATTGCTTGTCAAGTGAGGTCACTGATACAGACTAAGGCAAATATTCAATATGGTGCAAGAAGAGGTCCACCATTTACAATACTCTAAGACAATGTGGCCTTGTTATTTGTTTCAGAATTTGTATATCAAATTAGTGTGTGACTGTGTAAGTGATGTTGTCACCTCCAATGTCAGAGTGAAAATTAAAGAGAGAAATTGCCAGGGGGAAAAATGGAACCTAAAAAATTAAGTAGATATTTAGATTTGGTGCAATTACAGTTTGAAAGATGGTTAAGGATTTCAAAGGCAGATAGAAGGCAGCAACAGAAGCATCTAAAAAATGTGTTTTCATGTAGAAAAGAGAGGAATAAATCTATGAACTTCGTGGATGCTGATATCTGTCAAGGATAACACACTCCCCCTAGGGACAAGTTTGGGGGTTTGAGACTCTTCTTCCGTGGCTGGGTGTGTGTCTGACACTTCATTGGTTCCCAGCGTGTGAAGGTATTGTAGTGACACATACATAAGGAGGGATTGTTAAGCAGTGAGGTCCTTCAGTGTGCACTTCTTGTACCTATCAAAAAAACAGCTATTCTAAACTGCTGCTGCTGCCTTTGAAAATGCCACCACTAATGTGCATGCTGTCAAAGGGGTTTGTTGCTAATTAGTCAATTTTATTATTGGAGGTAGCAGTGAAGTGAGCTATGTAACAATATAGTTTAATTACTATGAACAATCCTGGGGCAATGGTTGGATGCTTTCATAATAAATCAATTCATATTTTTATTTTAAAAATCAAGCACATTTATTTTCTGTTTGTGAATAACATTCGTCTGCCACTACTGAATTTGATTAGTGTGAAAAAAGTTGACATTGTAACTGATTTTCTTTGGAAAAAACTCCACCCAAATACCTTAGCTCTGTGGGACAGTATTTAAGCGATTGTGAAACTGAAATATTTGTTGAGTCGCCCTTGTGTTTACGTTTCTGATTGACTTTCGGTTGTAGATATCCAAGCACATTATTAATTTATTTAATTAATTAAAGGGCCATTTTTCCCAGTGTTACATTGCCATTTCAGTTTTGCGTCAACTTGTAGAGATCAGTGTAGTCTCTGGAATGTAAAATGGACTAAACCTTCAGTGAGTGTTTCCCAAATGTAAATTTGAGGCTAGAAAGCTCTTTCTGTTCTATTTGGTTTTCATGGGGTGTTTTGATTAGGGATCAGAGTACAAAAGCACTGAATCTCAGTGATTTAAAGGATCCACTGTGCATTGTCCCTAACTGATGTTCTAAAATAACATAAGCATGCATATAAATGGAAATTCCTATAGAGCTTTTCTCGTTCACCATTTTTTCATATAAATTTCTACTCCGTTTTCACTCCACAAAAGTAATAGCAAAGGCATTTCCAGAGGAATT